TTAAACCAGCAAAGGACCAGTTTAAACCAGCAAAGGACCAGCATAAACCAGCAAAGGACCAGCTTAAACCAGCATCCCAGCGTCAAAACATACCTAACCAGCATATGCTGTTTTTTTCAACAGGGTTGTACGCCCACTGTAACTACATAGCCTAGCCCAAAAAAATAAAAATAATCGCAAATTGTTTTGTGGCCGTTTTTGTGCAAAAAACTGTGATTCAGTAGTCTCTCAGGAAGTGACTTGAAAGGTTAAATAGAGCTTAAATCACAGAAAACATACATACTAAAATGTTTGCGAATTAACAAGTGGCTTTACGAAAAATATTGTATTATTCAAATAAGTGCTTCATGTAATAGACAAAGAAATAAAACTCTATAATACCTCATTCAGATTAGCAGAGCCAAACAATGTACCGTAAATTAAAAACCAGTTTTTCCGCACACCTAAGGTTGTACCTTAGTGATACTCTTTTTCGTACACTTTTTCATTTGGATCAACTTTCGTTTTATCTCATTTTTCACAACTAAACTGCTCTGCGTATTTCAAACGACTCGAAAGAAAGACATCGCCCGTTAAAGTGAATCTTTGGGTTCTAAGCTTTCTCCAAAATCAAAATCAAATAAAGGAGAGCAAGGGAAGTGATCCGTAAACATAATTGCGAGAGAGAACCTCTAGTGGCCGAATTTGGGATTGCGGACATGGTTTTTGCTGCCCCGAAACAAGCCTGTTAAAGAAATTCAAACAACTAAAGAGAGATGCACTTGGCTCTAAAACATTTCTAACAACATACTGAGGTAGACTGTGTCCAAACAACCAACAGAAAGACATTAGCGCTAATAAACCAACTGCGTTCGTGACCTCGCCAGCTGTTACTCTCTTTAAACAAAAAATAAACAACTAAACGACTAGTTTTACCCGCCTTAGAGTATTGTAATAAAAGCTAACAGGGATTTACATAATTATGAGGATCATAAAATAAATAAAATATCAATATTTGCCTTTTCAAAGATATGTAATCTTGTTATTTAGGGAAAAAAAATCTGCTCACTGCTACAGGAAAAAAAAAATTTTTTCTTTGTAATAGTGTAAGAAAAGCTACAAGCAAGTTTGATTTCTTTGATTCTGCTATGTGCATTTAAAATTAAGCCAATGGGACCAAGAAAGGGAACATTTATGTTAAAAGGCTACGGTAAGGTGAGAGCAAGGTTCATAACTGTTAAATATCCTTCAGCCGGTAAAAAGGACACAGGAGTAAAAAGCTCAGAGAAAAAAAAAAATAAAGCAAATAAATTAAACCTCATTCACCAGAACACCATGTGAATATCATCTATGTGAATTCAGGAATTCTCCAGGACAAAATAAAAGTCATTCCTCTACAAAACAAAAGTTTGTTCTAAAAGAATATAAGCCATCCCATAGTTCCACACTGTAAAGTCATTGTTCTAAAGAAATTAACACAAGCATTGATAGACACTTCTCTTTTTATAGGCCACTTAATAAAAGGCCACTATCTTAAAAGATTTCCACTTTAAAAAAAAATAGAGAAAGAGACAGGAAATAAGCATCCAAGGGAGAAGGAAGTGGACTTTGAGGTGACGTAGCCGAAGCAGCTTTTCTGGTTGATTTAGTCATGTTCACAGTTTGCTTTTCCCCAACGCCCAACCAAACTGTCTTGGAAACTTGGCAAAAGTGTAAAAGTGTCAAAAAGCAAATGGTGCGTCGGATGATGGGCAAAATAATGTCCGTTTTCGTTATAACCATACTAGTGTCGTTGTAACAACAACAGCAACAAAAAAGACCTGAGATCTGTATCTTTAAGGGCCTCTGCAAAAATAACGCAATTAAAAACTTTTCTTAAAAAAAAAACGAAAAGAAAAAGCCGAAGCAAATGTTAGGACGGACTAGATCTGGGTAGAGACAGAATTCGGCCATTTTTCTTTCCACCGTTCATATGCGTATAGGGCACGTGCTCCTCGTAATTGCCCCGTAGGCCCACCGAGGGGCCGTTGTCTCTGCTGAGGCTCTCCTCGCGTTGGGAATAGGATGAGGGGTCCAGTGGTATGCTCTCCATGTTCTCGAAGTCCATGTCGAAGTCCTCGCTCTCAGGAGGTTTGTTCTCCTCGCTGTAGAAGAAGGAGACCTCTTGGAAAGTAGGATGCAGGTCCTCCTTGATCATCTCGATGATCTCGAGGAAGGTGGGCCGCATCTTCGGGTTGTACTGCCAACACATCTGCATGAGGTTGTGCCTGAGAGAAGAGTTAGAGCGAGAGAAGACAATCTTAAACCACATAAACCTCATTCTCCATGTGTCTCCATGATGGGTACAGAAACAAGAATGTATTTTTTTTTTCATTTGTCAGATTGTTACATTTAATCAATAAGTTCAATTAGAACAATAAGATAAGAAGCTGCATCTTAAGTGGCATTTAGATGTATTTACAGCCCAGAGGTATCTTGAAAGTGAGTGACATACTCGATATTGTCAGATACAATATTATCATAGAAGACAAATATAGCACAATATCATACATACTTGGATTTCTGAATTCTAGAAAAATATCTACGTGGCTTGTTTTCTGCTGAAAGATCAGATTATATTGCATTTTGGATAGGGATATACCAAAAAAAAAAAAAAAAAAAAAAACTTTCGAGATCGAAATCGTTGACTGAAACAACGCCGAAAAACGAAATCATGAATCATGAAAGTTCAAATACCCAGTAACCCAAATTGAATTAATGAAACTTTAGTTTTTTCAGCTAAATGAAACCTTAAATTGATTTCTTTGATTCTGCTATGTGCATTTAAAATTAAGCCAATGGGACCAAGAAAGGGAACATTTATGTTAAAAGGCTACGGTAAGGTGAGAGCAAGGTGAGAAAAAAAAAAAACATGAAATGGCAAACACGCTTACTAAAGCTTACGTGTGAATTTCAGCCTCGTTCTGTCGTTTCCCTCCCAAACTACCCACAAATAAATATACATACACACAAATATGCACGCACACACAGGAAATGTGCACATTTTTGATGATGACAAGTAAGATCCAGTAAAAGCGCCATCTCTCTTGCCTCTGGCAATCGGAGAAGGCACAAAGTTGAGGAATTGAGCATCTGCCTACCAAAGCTGTCTGCGTTTTATCTTTAAAGGATTATTTGGGAAAAAGCGGCATCATTCTGACAGAGAAGGAAGTTTACTTTCCCTGTGGTCTTCTAAGACTTCCCTTTCTCAGAACTAGAGCGTAAACGTCTTTATTATGCGAAGCCGTGCGAGAACTACACTCACTTTTGATACTTTAACAGGTACCGGAGCCTGATCGGGGATAAATTACAGGAATGTTTTAATGATCCGATTTAAATATTACCAGGTCGAATATTCCTGCTGTCGAAAAACGAACAACCTAGAATCCCTCGGTAAAGCATATCTTTCACAATAACATCCTAAATCCACCAGAAAAATCAGGTAAATAGTAAATCGAGCCAAAAACAACCTCTCATATCCCACAGAAAAAAAAAACGATCTGAAACATTCCCAAAATATTTTCCACAACAGCTTTTGGAATCCCAAAAATGTCACTGAGGAACATCCTACAAAATCCAATTTATGACAGAAAATTTGAATGTTTATTCCCTTGAATTGAGCAATCAAATATTTGTATTTTTAAATAATAATAACAATAATATTTAATTATTATTATTATTCCGAAATGAAATCAGTTGAATTTAGGCCAAAACAACAACGCTCCCCACTGTACGCTGGAACATCACTGTGAGTCAACTTGCATGTTAATTAATGAGTTTTTTTTTTTTTTGGTTAGACATAAAAAAACAGCTCATAAAAAGAGACAGTTGCAAAAAATATTGTTTAAGCAAAGCTGATGGAGACATTAGAAAAAGACATTAGAATTAAAAAAACTTTCGAGATCGAAATCGTTGACTGAAACAACGCCGAAAAACGAAATCATGAACAGCATAAGTTCAAATACCCAGTAACCCAAATTGAATTAATGAAACTTTAGTTTTTTCAGCTAAATGAAACCTTAAATTTCTGTTTTTCAGTAAAAAGAATAAAAAATATATGCACTTGTTTTGGACACTGGATGCCAACAAGGAACGTCAACAGCAAAACTTACTTAGTCAACCAAGAAAGGACTGACATGCTTTCTTGCTGAAAAGATCAGGATACATTGCGTTTTCAATTGTGATGCACTAAATTTCAGACACCAGAAATATTTGGTTGAAAAAGCAAAAAAGAATGTCATCATCACTTTCAGCCAAAATGGCTTTGGAGACTGAAATCATTAACTAAAATAATGCTGAATAACTTTACTACTTCTGGTTTATCATCTAAGAACACAAAATACTAGATAGCATGTTTTCAAATAACTAAATTGACTTTTTTTTTTTTTACCTAAATAACCTAAATTCACTAAATTTGGATACTGGAAGCCAAAAATTGACATCAACAGGTTTCTTAACTTGCTAAGCCATTCAAACTTACTCGGTCAACCAGCTACAAATGATGGTCTAATATGGTCTTAGCAAGGTTTATCTCTACATCGGTACTTACATTCTCTCTGGACAGTTCTCTGGTCTGTCCAGGTAGCCTCCGTCCATGACAAACTTGAGCACTTGCTCGTTGGACAGTCCCTGGTAAGGCTGCTCGGCAAGCGTGTTGATCTCCCATAATACCACTCCGAAAGACCTAAGAGTCAACAAAATTTTTATTACAGCACTGCCAGCTCATTATGCTGGGTGTGTATTTATTTTGGTGGACCCTCTGTCTTGTAACCCAAGAATGTCCAATCCTGCTCTTAGAGGGCCAATGTCAACCAGCTTCAACACACTTGCTTGGAAGTTTATAGTAATCCTGAAGACCTCGATTAGCTGGTTCAGGTGTGTTTAACTCTGCAAGGTAATGGCCCTCCAAGAACAGGATTGGACACCCAAAAGGACTAGCAAAGCACTTCTTGACTAGCTTCTTATAGGGGATCTGAATGTTCTTCTAGACACCTGGTTAGCAAAAAATTACAAAGAAACCCCAAAATATACCCACCAGCAGTCTGAGTGAGCAGTGAAAACGCCATCTTTTAGGGACTCTGGTGCCATCCATCTGACAGGCAATAAGCCCTTTCCACCCTTGCGATAGTAATCAGTCTCGTAGATGTCTCGTGTCATACCAAAATCTGCAACAAAAAAACGAAATCAAGATTTTTCGTCCTTCGAATCCTGAGTTTCACACTAAATATGCTTGTTGATTCTGGTCTTCTTACCTCCAATTTTCACAGTGAGATCTGCAGCCACCATGCAGTTTCTGGCAGCGAGGTCTCTGTGGACGAACTTCTTAGCGTTGAGGTACGCCATTCCATCTGCTATCTCAGCTGCCATTTGGATCATCTCCTTCAGGGTTGGCGGTGGACGACCTGGGTTATTCTGTTAAAAGAAAAACAACTGAAATCAATGGTCACAGCTACAGGCTACTGTTAGCTATTGATTGTGATGTTTCATAGACCCACACAGCCCTTGAAGATAAAGGAAAACTGGATTATTTAGCATCAAATGACAGCATTTGGCCCATTTTACTGTTACAGCATCCTCAAGTGAGGTGCAATGAAATTGGGGGCTCGTCCGGGATACAACGATTGGGGACTGGGCTCATTCTACATCAGGAATATGAAGACTTACCTCAGAATCAGGTCTCAGGCTACGCAGGTAGCTTTTCAGATCGCCGTGTGTCATCAGTTCCATGACGACCAATGTCGGTTGCCCCTTAGATACCACACCGAGCAAGCGGACCTAGGCGAATACGTTGAACATTTAGACAAGGTTGGATTTGCCTTGATTATTTTGGTTCTCCAGGTTATCCACACTCACCACGTGATGGCAGCTAAAGGCTTTCATGACCGAAGCCTCGTTGAGGAACTCAATCCTCTCGCGCAGGCTCGCCGACTCGTTGACGGTTTTAACGGCCACTCGCGTCTCCGGTTCGCCCTTCACGATGTCTTTAGCGATGCCTTCGTACACCATTCCAAACGATCCCTGACCGAGCTCTCTCAGAACACTGATCTTCTCCCGAGGCACCTCCCATTCGTCTGGGATGTACACTACAAATTCACAAAATATATATTTTTAGAAACACAAATTCAATAATTATAATTTATTTTTTACCTTTCAACAAAAAAAAAAAGCAAATTGAAAGCTATAAAATAAAACAAAAGGGGTAAATATTAGCTAAAATAAGCACAAGGGTATTGACAATAACATTAGTTCACAATCTTTCATTATCAATTTAATGAAGTGGATTACATCTATAATATCTTACCATCATTTGCACTTATATATTCTGGGTTCGAGGAAGCAATCAGTGGACCAGTCGGTCCTTCAGTTTGTCTGAGGGAAAAGATATTTATAAATGAGAGCATGGTCTAGATGATAAATAAGGACTTTATTTAAGAGCGTCTAACACATACTTCTTCCTAAGGACAATGAAGACTGTACTGGCCAGAAACAGCAGTACAATGAAGCAGATAAGCGGGCCGATAATGACTTTCATGTTCATATCCCCTGAAAAACATGCATATTAGAGACCATAGTGGCCAAAATAACAGTAAAAAAAAAAAGTAATAAATACAGTGAAGCTTACTGTCTTGAACAAAGAAGTATGCAGGCTCTGTCCAGGAGCCGTTGCTGGCCAGCGAAGTGGCACGTATTCTCACACTGTAATTCCCAGGATGCCCTACCCGTAATCGATAGCCGTACATTTTTTCATAAGCGATTCTGGACACACAGATTTGATCCTCCTGAGGAAAAAATTAAGAAAAATATATACACCTTCTTGAACAAATGAATTTTTAAAATATATAATTGTATAATATTTTAAATACAAATACTTTAAAATGCATACATATTTAAATACATTAAGTACTAAATATATTTTACGTTTTTAAATACCTAAAAATATTTATTTTCCAAAAATATAAATGACTAAATATTTAATTATTGTATACGTTTTGGTCTATGTTTAAATAAATAAAAATATTTATTCAACAATATATAGATAAAATACAGAAAAATTATAATATAAAAGATAAAATATACACATATTAATATGTGCAAATTTCTTAGAATTAATTGAACACCTACATAGTTATCTGACATCCTCATGTATTTGACTTCATACAGTATGATCATGCCATTGGGTGCTTTCGGCTCCTGCCATTTGATGTAGACAAATTCCGGTTCATCGGGAAAAAATTCGTGAGTCACTTGCCCAACGATCTTGTCAGCTTTTACTAAGAACACAAACGGAAGATGACACATTAGAACATGAATCCAAACCAAAACAACAGAAAAGAGTGGCCCGGCGGTCTTACGTTCAGGCAGGGTGCGGGCGTTGACGTATGTCGGCATGCTGCAGCGGTTCGGATCCGTGGGATGGTTGCAGGCCTGGATCTCGATCTGGTAGCTGGTGAAGTGGACCAGGTTGGAGATGACCATGAACTCTTTGGAGTTGGTTTTGAATACCATCTTCTGACTCTCGTCCTTCTCTGGGTTTGACGTGGTGGAAAAGTTGGGCAGGCTGGATAATGTGCTTGCAAAATTAGGCAAAGAAGCATTGGCCACGCCAACTGAGCGCCGCCGTCGGTGGGGTCTGCGGGTTAACAGTGAAGACTACGTTTCAGTCGTAGCCATTGGACCAAAATAAACACCCAATGATTTTAGTTCTAATGCCACATAATGAAGAGCATATAAATGTGTGTAAGTAATGCTTTATTTATAACTTCTGCCAGAGAATAATGGGAAATGTTTAGCAACGATGTCTGTCTTTGATAAGTAGAAGTAAGAAATATATGCATTAATATTCATTCCATTGCAAGATTTATTTATTTTTTCTCTGCTAAAATAAATAAAAATGGATGTAAACGTTATATTTGCATTCAAGTTTTTTTTTTGATGATTTCTTTGAGTAACTGCATAAAGATGCCGCATTTTCTTTCCAGAATTTTACTTAAATTACGTCGATTTCATTTATACTTAACTTTTTCATTTACTATAATACATAAGTATAAAATACAATATAAATAAAAACTAGTACCAAACCAAATAAAATAAACAATCTTGGACTGATTAAGCTGCAGTGTGGCCGATGCAAAGCAATTAACCAATTAACCAGAAGATGGCGCTATAGACCCTTGATGTTCAACAGCTCAGAACCCATTTAATATTAGAGCGATCTATTGACTGGAGATATATATTTAACTAATCCAACTGAAATAAAAACTAAACTGAAATAAATTAAACCTAAATAGTAATATAAAAAAAAAATGATAAAAACGACAAAAGGACATAAAATTATTAAAAATGTAGCTAAAATGAACTGAAATGAAAATAAAAAAAAATTATAAAATAAATAACTTACAAATTTCATATTAAAATCTAAAATAAAACATAACATTTTTATTACATTATTTATCATCTATCGTATATCATTATTCCGGTGTGTCATGATGA